CCCCCCAAAAAAAAAAAAGAAAGAAAAACTATGACTTACTTTCTTGTCAAAATGCAGAGCATCAGAAAGTCGGAGTGTCCAAAGGAGCTTGAACCAGCAGATAGGAGGTCTCCTGTTAAAGTTAATCTCATAAGGAGGGAGGAGAAGTGCCCTGTAAGGCCTTTCTTGACTTTAATTACTAAAGCTGCTCTTTTTCCAAACTGGTATTCTTCCTCTTAATTATTGTCTTTCCACCCCATCCCCCCAAATTTTCCTTGCAGGAACCAGAGAAGCGCCATGTTCCTTTTCAGGGTGTGGGAAGAACTCTAGGTAGCAGCTCCACTTCTCCAGCAGTCTCTGAACCAACTGTTGCTGCTTCTGCTCCATCCCCATTTATGGGTCTGGTTGTGGATGAAACATTGCCGTCAACCTCAATTCAGCTCAGATTGGCTGATGGCACACGTATGGTTGCACGCTTCAATTACCACCACACCATCAATGATATCCGTGCCTTCATAGATGCATCGAGGCCTGGAGGGGCAAGGACCTATCAGTTGCAAACTGTGGGTTTCCCTCCAAAGCAACTCACTGATGTTACCCAGACCATAGAGCAGGCAGGCCTTGCTAGTTCGGTTATTATCCAGAAGTTTTAGGGTAGCCGCACAAAGGTATTCCAATCTCTAGGCAAATACAATTTTTCCAACAGAGCCAGTTTTATATTGTCCTTAACGAGATAAAGTAATATGTAAGGAACTCTTGTGGTTCATTTTGAAAGCATCTCTCTAGCACAATATGATTCTAGAATGACAATTCTGCATACAATTGAGTGCAGGAAGTTGATACGATGAATGCTTTCATGTTGACTTGTTTTTTTGAGGTGAGTGATCAAACACTTGTTATAAAACTGCATGCGATGCTAATAGTTTAAAATGGATGGAAGCATTTTTGCCATTTCATTTGAGAAATGAATCTATTGACAGTGTTTCAATGAATATCTGGTTATATGCCAGTGCTCTTTAGCTATTCAAATTTCACAGATAAACGTACAAAACGATTTAGGGGGTGCTCGCCAATGCGTTTGATTTTAGTTTTGAAAACAAAACTGCAATGAGTAGAAACACGTTTGCTTCCATCCATTTTAATCTAATGGTAGATTGGTGGATCAAAATTTTGGTCATCAATGAGAACCAAAACATGGTCTTGTTTCATATTTGTTTAGATAAATGCTAGGCCGGCCGGAGGACATCATTTGGGAATTTGGGCCAGCCCTTAGTTTTTAAGCAGGATGTCTATATGCTCTGATGTGAAAGGTTCCAAGTGATGGTGCTTGGGATCAACGTAGCACTACCCTTGGGATCAAACGAGTTAATGATTCATGGTTTTGATAGCCTATCAGAAAAAGAAAGTCGTGGTTTTGATATATTCCTGTGTTAAGTGCTTGCGGGCCCAGATTTCGTCTAGGTTTAAAAAAAAGTCTTATTTATTTATTTTGATAGATAGACTACCATCTGAAAGAACAGCAACAGATAATTTCTCTCCAGAAATTAGGCAGGCTTTCTAGCCAAGGACCAAATGCCGTAGACCCACTTCAACCCTCATTCCGAGAGTAATGGGCGGTAATTTGATGCGCAAGCTGGTTAGCAGTCCTGCTAATCCGTCTGTCGAACACTCTAACTTGCGTGGTGTTCAATGGTGTGGATGGGCCACGATATATTGCTTTTCAATCTATATCACGTTAGTGCTGTGCGTTCGGTTGGTCTGTGATGCGGACCAATTCATGTTATCTTGTGGATCGATCCATACCATGGCCTATTTTCTCGACTACGGGTTTTTCTTGTGGAATCATCTATGCTACCCCATATTACCTATTGAACAATTGCATGGGATGTTTTATGCTAATACACGACTTCTTTTCTTTTCACCGTTGCAACACCTCTCGTTGTGTTTGCAGAAGTTGTATCTCATCTCCACTTAGATTTCCCCCCTCCCCACCCTCCTAGGTAATATAATACAATCTGTTTGTTAGTTTAGAAACAAGTTTAGGCCTAACTAAACTATATGTTTGTCTATGATTTTATGTAGGAAAGTACTATGTTATAGATTCTAGATTTCCTAGTGATGATGATTACATAATACATTTTTTTTTCTGTAGAGCAATATCATTTGAATGATTTTAGAGGACATCGAAGGTTTTAATTGAAGAAGGAATTATTCAATCACAGACATTCTTCACTAAGAAACATTATAGAGAGGTGTTTTGGTATATTGAAAGAGAAGTTTTCCATCCTACAAAGCATGATGTCGTTTGACTTCGTCATGACTTCCTTCATCACATACAATTTCATTAAGAGAGAAATTATTCATGATATAGAAATCGATACGTGATCAGAGGGGGACATGATAGTTGGGGATGGAGACTAAGATGATAATGATGATTCAGATGATGATAATAAACAAATGGACTTTGGAACAACTAATGTTAGAGATAACATAGTTGATAGGATGTAGGAGTAATATCAATCATACCAGCTTGATGCTTGGCTTTTATGTTGTTGTGTAATTGACTTTGTTTAACATTACATGATGTTGACTTTTGGCTTCATTGAAAAGAACTATCTAAAGTAGTAGTAGTATAAATTATGGACTGTTAAACATGATTTTATCTATCATATGTCATCACACATGGATTTTGTGTAGTTGTAAGTTGCTACAAGAATGTTCAACTATATATGAAAACTGATGTGCTTGTGTGACAGAGGGCCAATGGAACTAGTTATGGCAAAAACTAGTGCTAATTATGGTTGGTGGTTTTTCTATTGCCCAAAATGGGAGTATCACACCAATTCATTCTTTTGGGTAGATGAATTTATTGAACATGAGACACAATAGAAGCTTTGCATAAAATATACACCTCATCATCAACACATGGAACATTGTGCAGTACAAAAGCACATCCATCTATGTAAAACCGACATAACCTTATTAGCTTGATGTGATGGCATCTACTTTGCATTACCCTCTTGATATGTTTTGCTTTATTGCTCGTGCTATAATTAAAGAAAATTCCCGATCAGTACCTTGTACTTTGGCTCAAGTGACAATTTGATCCCCGAACTTTAAAATGCGACAATCTAGTACCTAAATTTTCAAAATGTGACAATCTAGTACTTGAACTTTAAAATTGTGACAATCTAGTACCTACGGTTAACCAGTTTGTTAATCAGCCATTAAATGATATTTGAAAAGTAAAAAATGCCCTAAGAATGTCATCTATTTCTCTTTATCAACCATCCAAACAGTTCCAAATTCTAGATTCTTCCAAACAGTCACCAACTTTTTTGAATAGAAGAGGCTAAGATTTGGGATTGTTCAGTTATTGTCAACGTTTGGATGGTTGATAAAGAGAATTAGATGGAATTTGAAGGGAATTTTTGATTTTTCAAATGCCACTTAACGGCTGATTAACGAAATGGTTAACGACAGGTACTAGATTGTCACATTTTGAAAGTTTGGGTACTCGATTGTTACATTTTGAAAGTTTGGGTACTGGATTGTCGCATTTTAAAGTTCATGGACCAAATTGTTACTCGAGCCAAAATATAGGGTCCTAATTAGGAATTTTCCCCTATAGTTATTTTTAGTGTAGTTGTAATTCCGTCCCTTAAACTCTTAAACTCTTAGATGTGCTTGGAACCATGTTGCTCTTAAATTTTATTTATGGTAAAACCATAGATTTAGATGAAATCAACATTTTTTGGAGTTGCACATATCATACTATATGAGCTTGTGTGAAAAAATAATAATATTTAATCGAATAAATGTATATTTTATTATTTATTATTTTACATAAATAAATAGTAGTAATGTCAATAACTTCATACAACAATATTAGTAATAATATTAATAATATTTTTATTAATTGATAAGTTTTGGGTATCACTTTTGATTAATATTATTAATCATTAACAATATTATTAATTATTATCAATTATTATTAATATTGTTAACATTTTTTTATCAATAATTAAGTTCAATATTATTTTATTAATAAAAATAATTATTTTTATTATTAAATATTATCAATATTATTGCAAATATTGTTAATTATTCATGATATTATTTTATTAATTATTAAGTTTTGAATATGACTTTTATTAATTTAACAATTAATATTAACTATTATTGATATCATGGTTTTTGAACCGCCGTTAACTCGGGTGGTTGGACCGTTTGGCTCAGGAACCGTCCAAGCAACCAGTTCCATTTTACCCAAACCCAGTCCCTGGCCAAAAACCATTGAATCAGTCAATGAATCGTTGATATCATGGTTTTGGCCTTTTGTTATTTTTAATTATTATTATTATTTTAATTTATTTGTTAGAATGGGTCGTCTATTCGAACCGGACGGTTGAACCATTGACCCAAAAATCGGTGGCTAGAACAGTTCTATTTCTGGGTCATTTTTTAAAACCATAATTGATATTATTAAATATTATTATTGTTATTGTTAATATTATCAATTATCATTAATATTAGCACTTGTTTTTAATTAATATTAATATCATTATTTGTTACTAAATATTATTAATCTTATTGTTAATATTATTTTTATTAGTTATTAAAATTCTTAGCAATTTGCTAATATTTTTCTATTGTGTATATTATTAAAGATAAAATATTGTTTTTAATAATTAACGACACATATCTTCTCAAATATTGTAATTGAGATGCATGGAATCAAACATAGGGTGTGGATTGAAATGTGCAACACTTTGGAGAACACCCGTATAGGTGTAGTATGGATTAGTATATACATCTTTGTCCACGATGCATAACAATTACTCTGTTGAGGTATAGTATCGATGAAAACACACCACCCAATTTCTCATATATGCTACAAAACACCCCTTCATCAGAGGGAGAGGGGGGAGTTGATATGCACATCTAATCGCCTTGGTTATGCCTCTTGATCTTTTTGTCATTGCTTTTAGAGTCAATAAAGAGGCATGATGAACTTCCGCATGCTTTGCTTTAGCCCCCCGACACCATAACTCTTGACATGACCTCAGGGGAATATAGCAAATTCAACTGCTCCTTCCACAATTAGTGAGTTTTAGCTTTCTCAAATATTTCCTAAGGGTTGTGACTTCCTTCAGTTTTTGTATAGGTATATCATTGCAGACATACTACAACCATTATGCATTTAAAATAAGGATTATTTATCTCAAACACCCCATTACTAACTTAACCTGACTTCTTCATACTTTCATTTCATTCGGAGACCCTCCTGTAAGACAAGATCAAATTGGTGCCCCACAAGCACCCCGACAGCATCTCCCACCCATGTATTGACTCCCTATGACAAATACATTAGATGTTTTCAATACATGTTGAGATGTGCATGTAGGGCGTTAAAAGTCATTTATTAAATGCTTGTAAGATTGATGCCCCTACTACCCAACCCCATTCTTTAAACCATAATATGCCTATCCATTCACTCAAATTCAGATGTTGGTGGATAAATTGAATTGTTGGTGATGAAGGGTGATTTGGCTCGACCTAGTGAAAAGGAGACACGTGGACACAATCTCACTAAGAGAAAACAGCTCAGCCCGACAAGATTAGTTCGCAACAATTGAGCTCGATGATTCAGTCACCTCGGCACAAGGGCCACCTCGGCACAAGGCTCACCTCGGCACGGGGTCACCTCGGTGTAGGATCACCTCGGCGTATAGTAACCTCAACATCAAGGCACCTCGGCACTCAATCCAGTTCGAAACTAAAAGACTGAAGTATCAGCTCGGGGCTACCAATCTGGACCGTCATGTAATGATTCCGGAAGTCTCTCCAACAAACTCCGAACCTCATGGGATCAC